TACTCGACCACCCTCTCGGTCATATAATAGACATACCTTTAACATATAGGTCGGATGCATTTGAACATTAATTCTTGTAATATCTTCTAAAATAATTAATTAAGGGTGAGTCTCCTTTGAGCCCCATGATATGATACGGGTTGGACCAAAATAGAAATGAACATTAATTCTTGTAATATCTTCTAAAATAATTAATTAAGGGTGAGTCTCCTTTGAGCCCCATGATATGATACGGGTTGGACCAAAATAGAAATGTGATTTATGTTGAAAAATATATTACTAATTAGAAATAAATTGTTTGTTATTTATATGTGAAAATGTAATACTTTTGAGGAAAATATAATACTTTTAAATCAAAATATAATATTTAAGAGTTGAACAATTACTTATAATAGAAGATGTAATATTAATCATGAATAAATTGAAAATGCTAGAGGTAAATTGAAAATGTAATCATGGATAAAGTGTAATACTATCAAAATGGGGGTATTGAAGAGAAAAATGTGGACAATGCCTCCTATAATGATTCAGCCGTGACTTGTGAGGTTGTTATATGCTACTTTTGGAATTATTTGAATTATTTTTATAACCGTTATGTTGTTTGTTTGTGAACATAGATTATTTCTTATACACGAACAAATTATGATCATAAATATGTGGCATGTATTTGTTTATTTAGTATTCGTGAACGTGTTCATGAACATTAACGAACACGTTTACAATCGTTAACGAACACTAATGAACGCTTAACAAACGAATTGAACACAAACATAATTTTCAAAAATCTTAACGTACAAACGAACACGAATAACCTCTATTCATTCATGTTTGGTATCTTCTAATTTATTTAGATGAGAATATAATTGTGTTGTATTCAATAATAATGTCTGAGAGTACATGGAGTGAATATATAGAGATGCTAGATAGAATCTTAGTCTAACACAAATAATATAGTCATAGTCTAATAGGGATAATAGAGTCCTAATAGTCCTAATACTCCCACTCAAGCACAAGGTTGGTCAGCCAAAATATTGAGCTTGCAACGGAGTAAATTAAAACGTACAGACGAAAGAGACTTAGTAAAAATATCCGCTATCTGATCTTTGGTAGAAATAAAAACTTGTAATTCCTTCTTCGCGACTTTATTACGAACGAAGTGGTAGTCGATCTCAATGTGCTTGGTACAAGCATGAAACACCAGATTAGCACACAGATAAGTAGCTCCCAGATTGTCACACCAGAGTTTGGACACAGAAGGTGGCGCAAACCCGATTTCCTTCATTAGAGGAACGAGCTAAGTAACCTCTGCAGAGACATCAGACAGTCATTTGTATTCAGCCTGAGTTGATGAACGAGCCACAGTACATTGTTTTCGACAAACCCATGAGACAAGATTGGTCCCCAAAAATACAGCAAAACCACTAGTAGATTTGCGATCATCAAGATTGCCAGCCCAATCCGAATCAGAATATGTATGAATATCTAGAGAAGGAGAAGACGTAATCTTAAGACCAAGATGTAGTGTCCCATTTACATACCGTAACACCCTCTTGAGAGCCGCCCAATCCGCAGTAGAGGGAGAGTGCATGTGTTGACACAAACGATTGACTGCATAGGAAAGATCAGGCCGAGTTACCGTAAGATATTGCAGAGCACCTGCAAAGCTGCGATACTGAGTGAGATCAGCATATGGTACCACGGCATCAGTCTCGGCCTTCGTGGTTGAAACCGGAGTAGCCACGGGCTTGCAATCAACCATACCTGCTCGTTTTAGAATATCCTTCATGTACCGTTGTTGAGACAGAAGCATGCCATCAGACAACGGAATGGTCTCAATACCTAGAAAGAACGAGGGCACACCCATATCACGAACTTTAAACTCAAGAGCCAACTTGTCAATAAGAGCAGTCACATGAGCCGGATCAGATCCCATAACCAAAATATCATCCACACAAACCAGAAAATATAGACGAGTATTGCCATGTGAAGATATAAATAGAGAGACATCCGTATTAGAAGGTGAGAAACCAGCAGAAACCAGAAAATCATGCAAACGAGTGAACCAAGCACGAGGAGCTTGCTTAAGCCCATATAAAGAACGTTGAAGGAGACAAACGTGCCCGGGTATCGTTTTGTCTTCATAACCAGGGGGCTGGCGCATATAAACCGTCTCAGCGAGATTGCCATTTAGAAAAGCATTGTGTATGTCCAACTGTCGAATAGTCCATCCACGAGAAATAGCTAAGGATAAAAGAAGGCGTACCGTAGTCGGTTTAACAACGGGACTAAAGGTCTCAAAGAAATCCTCGCCGGCAATTTGATTGAATCCCTTGGCAACTAACTGAGCCTTGTAACGCTCAATCGAACCATCAGCCTTTCTCTTGGTTCTAAACACCCACTTACATCCAACTACATTCATACCTGATTTAAAGGGAACAAGCCTCCATGTATTGTAGTGCACCAAGGCATTAAATTCCAAATCCATTGCATCCCGCCATTCAGGAAATTTAACCGCTTGAGTAAAACATGTAGGTTCAGGAGTAACAGCAGTAGCAGATAAAGCAACATGATCATGTGGTCCCGAACTTCTCGTATTCATTCCATGAGAGCGAACAGGTGAGGGCGCGTGACGAGACCGACCACGAGGCCGGCCTCTTGGCCGAGGAGCCGGCTGGTCCGTGACTGTCCGCTCGGACTCGGTCACGGGCTCGGTAGTAGCAGGTTGCTGGCGGTGGTGGTCAGAAGCGGCTATGGGCGCGGCAGGAGGGTCACGAGCCGTGACAATAGTCGGATCACCGCCAGAAATAATTGGTGCAACACCCCACGGCTCCGGGCGTGGTTTTGGAACCTGCGAATCCACAGAAGCAACAAAAGGAAAGACAGCCTCATCGAATCGCACATGGCGACATATAAAAACCTTGTTAGTGTTAGTGTCTAAACAACGATAGCCCCGAAAAGATGGAGGATATCCTAGAAAGACACAAGGGGATGGCCGAAACTGTAGTTTGTTGCGATTATAGGGACGCAGATTTAGAAAGCATAAACACCCAAAAACACGCAGATATGAATAAGATGGAGGAGACCGATGCAAAAGATAATGAGGAGATTTATCAGATAAGACAGGAGTGGACATTTTATTGATTAGATAATCCACAGTTTCAAAAGCATAATCCCAAAAACGAGACGGAATAGAGGATTGAGCCATTAATGCTAGTCCCGTTTCAACAACATGCCTATGCTTACGTTCTACCGTGCCATTTTGTTCATGAGTATACGCACATGATTTCCTGTGATGAATACCTAAGGACGCAAGAGTGGAACCAAGCTTTTTATATTCTCCCCCTAAATCAAATTGAAAAGAAATAATCTTGCGAGAAAAGGAACGTTCAACTAGTGACCGAAACTTATAAAATATAGCATACAAATCAGATTTAGCACGCATGGTATAATACCACATATAACGAGTGTAATCATCCACAAATAACATAAAATATTTAAAGCCAGACGCAGAAAGTAATGGCGCAGGGCCCCAAATATCTGAATAAATTAATTCCAAAGGATGCGTACTAGTAGTTTCGGCACGAGACAAAGGAAAACGAGAAGATTTTCCTAATTGACAAGAGGAACAGACATTGGGAAGATCACTAGAATTAAATGTACCAACAGACGAAGACGCTAAAATTTTACGTAAGACTCGAGAATGAGGATGCCCCAATCGCATGTGCCAAACATAAGAGGACCGTGCAGCAACAAATGCAGCAGAGGAAGCAGAAGACGCAAGCCATGTGTAGAGACCCCCAGACGCATGTCCCTTAAAAAGAACCTTCTTGGTCAAAATGTCTTTCACATAGAAACAAAGAGGGTGGAACTCAAAGAAAACATTATTGTCCTTTGCAAAACGCTGGACAGATAATAGAGAAGAAGAGATACCAGGGACATGCAAAACATCATGTAACTTAAAAGACATAGAATCAGTGGCTAACGAAGCAGAACCAACATTAACAATAGGCAAACCTGTACCATTGCTGACTCACAGAGTCTTTGGGCCATCATAACTTGTCATAGAAGTCATCAAAGAAGAATCAGGCGTTGCATGATTTGTAGCACCAATGTCAGGGAACCACTGATGAGGACCGTTGGAATCACCATTATCACCAGAGACGGCCACATTAGCCTGAAAACCCGGAGCCCCTGAATAACGCCGAAAACAGTTGGCTCCCGTGTGACCAAAACGGTTACAAATTTGACACGGGTCATCATAGCGCAAAAAACGATTGGCTCCCGTGTGACCAAAACGGTTACAAATTTGACACGGATCATCATAACGCCAAACACAATTGGCTCCCGTGTGGCCGAAACCTTTACAAATTTGACACGGATCATCAACGTCACGTCGTTGACCGGACCGCTTCTGATACGATGTATCTTGGTTTGATGTCATCGGCTACTGCTACGAAGTGAGGAACATGGATGTTGGAAAAGAAAACCGTGGCTAACTGATACCAGTGAAAATATAATTGTGTTGTATTCAATAATAATGTCTGAGAGTACAGGGAGCGAATATATAGAGATGCTAGATAGAATCCTAGTCTAACACGAATAATATAGTCCTAGTCTAATAGGGATAATAGAGTCCTAATAGTCCTTATAATTTAAAATTCTTATCTAATTTAGAGTTTTTAATGATAAATCTTCTATACATAAATTTAGAGTAAATACCCAAAATGGTCCATCGACTATAGCTAAATTCACAAATTGGCCATCGACTTTCAGTTTTAACCAATTAAGTCCTTAACTTTATAATTTTAACACGATTTGGTCCTCCGCCTATTTGACCGTTTGTTGACTGTGATTTTTGAGGATATATATATGTAATTTCATGGTCCATCGTCGGTTTTTTAAGGTTCCGGTTTCATTTCCAGACCGCACTGTTACATTTGAATCCACTACCGAAAGCAATCTGCCAAATCTTGTCGCTTTTCTTCATCCTCCCTTTGGATTTAATGTAGTTGAATTCGTACAAAGGCAAAGAAGACGACGTGTTTTCGAACCGGTGCAACGTCATCTGGGATGGAGGCCTCTACGTGCTCCGACAAGAGTTGCAGGTTCTTCTGGAAATCGTTGATGACAGCGCGGCCGCCAGCGTTGATGCAGAAGTGTTTGAAGGCCTGTTTGAAGTCGGGAATGTAGGGTTTCCATTTGGGATTGAAGATTTTCCGGACGATTAGGGTGAAGAGGAAGAAGAGCTGCTCCGACGGCGGGAGAACGAACGGGTCGATTGTGGTTATGTTGGATTTGAGGGCTTCGCCGGCGATCACCATTAGGTATTTTGAGAGGTTGATTCTGACTTTCCATTGCGGATCTTCCTGCTCGTAAACGCAGCGGTAGGCTTTATTGTCGGCGTGCTTGTGCGTGCGGACCACGTGCATGAGTCGATACTTGGCCCGACCCGAATCGCGCTTCTTGTTGGACCAAATCGTGTTAAAATTGTAAAGTTAAGGACTTAATTGGTTAAAATTGAAAGTCGATGACCAATTTGTGAATTTAGCTATAGTTGAGGGACCATTTTGGATATTTACTCATAAATTTATTTGTACTAAAAAAGAAAAATGTAAACTTTTTGGACCATGGAATACCTTGCACCCTGGCCCACAATATAACTACTGTGCCCATTTAAGTAAATACGTAAATAAAAGTAAAGCCGTAATCTGATCTTCAATTCCTCCGATCCAAGCACTAGATAAATATTAAAATAGACTGAATTTCACTTTTAATTATCGAAATGATTGTGATATTATCACAATTAGTCATGCTCTTTTAGTTTTATCACATTGCATATGTGACTTTTATTTGCTACAATTAGTCATTCTTCTAAAATTTTGTTATTCCGTCAATTAATAAATTTAGCTAATATATAATTTAATCATTTAATTAAAAGAGTTTACAAGTGAGGAAGAAAAATTTTGACAAATTATTGTGTAGACCATGAATATCAAGTACATTTTTAATATGTTAAAAACATTATTTTTGTACTGGAGGTACATTATATAAAACAATATACCCTTAATATATTAAAAATGTACTTTTAAAAAATGTACCTTAAGTACATAAATAGTGTACCCTTTGTATATTAAAAATGTACTTTTTATTTAGGATCCACACAATTGTGTGGACCATGGTCTATGTAATAATGATTGAAAAATTCCATGTTGGGCCAGAGACTTGAATAATAAAATTAGCATTTTTTATTAAATAGTTAAATGATAAAAATTTTAACGAAAAACTAATTGTGGCAAGTAAATAAAAACTAAGGATGTAATAAAAGTAAAATTTGCTCTATTAAAATATATTAAAACAAAATAGGAAAAAAATGGCAAGATCATGCCAAATTTGGAAATGTGATTATGACATTAAAAATTAATAAGAATAATAGTAATAAATAATGGTCGTATATGGTAAACTTGGTCTTAGGCATTCCCAATATGGATATTGAGATGGCACTTCATTCAATATCTGAATATACTATTTGGATTGAAAAATGTCCGTATACATTTGTATATGAACATTAGTTAGTAAAATTAATGTGCACGTGAAGGACACATGACGGGCACACGCAACAAGCAACTCACGGCGTCGTGGATTATGTTTTTTCGTGTGTTTTTATTTTTTGTAATATATAATATAATTGTAATATAGTCAATATATAGCACTAAAAAAATAATAATATAATTAATTATATTTTAATTATTAATAAATGTAATTAATTAATTCAAATGGAATTTGTAAATAAAAATAACAATAAAATAATTTTAGAATAAAAATCAGACTTTTTTAATTGAATTATAAAAAAATAACATTTTAAAATTAATTCTTTAATTATATTGTCATCACTTATTGTCCATTAATTATTAGTAAAATGACTTTTTAGCCCGTCCTAACAAAAGTTCAAGGACAAGAAAAAGTCATTTTTCAAAAAAATTGAGTGACAAAGAGTTTTGTTTTTTTTTTTTTTTCCTATAGTTTATAGATAGAAATTATCATTTTCTATATTTAAAATGATGGTGAGTAAATATATGTCTGAAGGATATTTTTTTTTGAATGTCTGAAGGATATTTACCATCACTACTAAAAGAAAATTAATTTTCATCCATTTTCCAATGACTTAAAAAAGTGAAAGAAAATAGTTTTTAAATTTTTCTGATCACTATAGGTGGTGACTGGAAATTCCAACCACCTATTCATTTATTTATTTATTTATTTATCATGTATTGTAATTTCTTACCGCTTTTGCGGGTGGTTAGAAATTTTTTGGCGATGAAATTCAAAATTGAAAATTTTTTGTTTTTGTATATATGGTGAAGAAGGAAATAGAAGAGAAAGGAAACAAAAGAGAAAAGGAAAATGAATTTTAATCTCGAAATTAAATTGACTTGATTTACTTAGCTTTTTCATAGGCTTGAGGATGTCTGAGATATCTACTAATTTAATAATAGCCAATAAAGTTAGGTTTATAACTAGAACTAAAAAATGTTAGTTCAATTGTTTGTTGAAATGAATGATTCATATTATTTTGATTTTAGTATTTTTTTAAATTATTTTTCATACTTTATCCTCTATTATATCATTTACTTTTTATAAATACCCTCGCATTCCATCAGTAAAATGCGGATAAAACCATTGACCACATCTTTCGAGAGTGTCCAGTCGCAAAAGAGGTGTGGAGTGTGTTGATGAACGATCCTACGAGGAGGAGAATGGCCAGTCTCGATACTGATACCTGGTTGCATGTTAACCTTGAAACCAGCTTGCAGGCTAATCATGGAAATAACTGATCAAATGTCTTTAATATCAAAGTGTGGTGGCTGCGGAGATGGAGATATACTATGGCTTTCAAATGGAAGGATATAGACATTGTGGGAAAACCTGAGTGGATCATTGAGCAAAGTAGAGAGGTGCATAATGCGTTTGCTAAAACATGATGGGAGAAAAGCTTCAATTAGAAACAAGATGATATTATCCAGTGGAAGTACCCTGGTGGCGAGAAGGTGGTGCTTAATGTCGATGGCAGCTTTAATCATCAAAATTATGAAGCCGGTTGCGGAGGCATAGCGAGGGATTACCATGGAAGATGACTAGGAGGATTCTCATGCAAACTAAAGGTCTGTCATGCAACTGAGAGTGAGGCGTGGGGTGTTCAATGGGCTTGGAAGAAAGGAATTCAGAGTATGGAGATTCAAACGAACTCCAAGGAAATAGTGGGTTGGATCGAGGGCCCGGAGCAACCTTTGGGACCGTTGAGAGAGATTATTATACATGAGTGTCGGGAGTGGATGGAAAAACCGTGGGAGGTAACCATTAAGCACATCTATAGAGAACAAAATGAGGTTGCTGGTGGTCTTGTTAAATTGGCGTGTCATTCCGTCAATGAGTGGAATATTTGGCATGAGGCTCCTCCAGGAGTGCATGAAGCTGTGCTCAGAGATCAAGAAGGAATTCCACACACGAGAGGGATTCTTGTGAGAAGCTACTAGTATCGGATTTCCCCCTCCTATTTTACATAAAAAAAAATACAATATAAAATTGAACATCACTTTTGTCAATTTTTTTTTAAAGCAAAAAGATGTGTAATATTACTGCAAAAGAGGAACCACAAAGTCCGGGGGATCAGAATCCCAGTACATAGAGCTAGCCTGAGCAGAGGCTTTAGATGCTAAAACATGAGCAACGGTATTTAAATGTCTAGGAATAGCAAACAATGAAAAAGATGCGAAGGAAGATAACATGGCTTTGCATTCGTCGACAACCACCGCTACATAGGACCTCAGAGTGGCGGACGAACTCGATAAAGTGGCGTTTTAGGACCAGACAATCTGTGAAGACAATGGCCTCGTGAATTGATAGGAGCCTTAACCAAGATAACGCTTCCTTAAACGCCAGGGCTTCAGCTGTGAGGGTATCAGAAACACGGGGGCAGAAAACCATTGGAGGCCACTACAAACCGTCCGTCGGCCGATAGGAGAAGGATTTCGTACGCTGCCACTCCGGAATGCGGTGCGTAGGCGGCGTCGGAGTAGCAGCAACGGGTTCTTGCTGTCTGTTGTGGCAAGGCCGACTGCTGCAATGGCGGGGCAGGTTGCGGCAGAATGGACGCTTCCCAAGCAGCGAGGGCTGCCGTAGCTTGCACCGCAACACAACGCGGAGGCTTCATGCATACGTTCCAGACGACGGCATTCCTGGCGTTCCATAGATGATAGAGCATTGCAACCACTTTAACAAGAATATCCGGTGTTAATACACACGTAGTGTTCCGAAACCATTCTGTAAAACAACCTCCAACCACACATGAGATCAGAAGGTGGGGAACATCCCAAACAAGTCTAGCATAATGGCAATCAACAAGAGAGTTCATAATATCTTCATGAGAAACAACACACATTGGCATGAAGGGGTCACTTCCACCCCCCTTAAAAAGGAGGTTAGAAGTAGTAGGCAGGATACCACTTAGATCTCTCCAAAGAAAGGTCTTCCATTTGGGAGGATTTTTGATTTCCACATAGCGGACCATTTATCAAACATGGTTGGGTCGGTAGTGAACTCGCCCATCAAAAATCTGTAACCACTTTTCACAGAATACAAACCGATTATATCCCTGTGCCAGTACCAGGAATCCTCAAAAGCTGGGCACACAGGCACTCTCATAATTTTACTCACATCACCTGGCTCAAAAATATCATCAAGGATGGCCAAGTCCCATGTATGAGTATCCTGGTCAACCAAACCTGACACCTTTGAGCCAACTAACTGCTGTGGTACCGTAGTATGGATCATAGGGTCGGGTCCAAAAGCTAGGGATGCTCCCAAATTGAAGTAGACTCACCATTCCCAATCCTCCTCCCCATCCCCGGGCAGAAACGAGTATGAGCAGCCATAATACTCCTCCAACAGTAATTGGGATTATTGCCCAAAGTAGCATCACTTTTGTCAATTAATTAGGCAACCTATATACCTAACATTTAAAGTTGAGCATCAAATATTACAAATAAGGAGTCTTGAAAATCATTTTGTTGTATTTTTTTTAAAACCCATCTATGTTAAGTTTTGTTTTTCTTCATTTTTTTTTTCGTTTAATTAATCTTCTTTTAATTATTTAGAACAATACTCAATATTTTAATTATGTTTTTGCATTATTTGAATGATTTATGTTATTATGATATTAATTAATATTTTTTGTCTGTATTTATATAATGGTACAGTTGTACATTACTTTACAAATATTTTACTATTATTTTTTATCAAACAAAATTGTTTTTACATCATTAAAGTTTCACACACACACATAATATATATATATATATATATATATATATATATATAATGAAACTTTAATTATTGCAATATTATAACACCCCCGATTTTCATGCCATTTTAA